CCTCTAAAACGCTCCCAGACGGAAACTCATGTTTGGAAATTTAGCCGATTCAAGAGCACCACAGTCCTCGTCGTACGTTCGGCAACGTTTCCTCATTCCGAATATCGTCACTACTAGGTCAAAATGAGAAAAACAGAAAGGAGAGAGAAGTCATTTGCTTTCTTGGAGGTACCACTTACTGATGTGGAATACCCATTATCACTTTTTTTGAGGGCAAAAATATGCTGTACCCAGCGGGTCTTATTTTCTTACATGGTCGCAATGATATTCTGCAAAGCTATTGAAGAGTCTGGCTGTTTATATGGTCGTGAAGAGACACATCAAGTATCTTTCGCTCCACAGCCTGCGTTCGCTCTTAAACTTCTATTAGTAGCCATTTGAGCTTAATAAATTTTTGCATAGGGTCTTCAGAGAAAAAAAATTTTAGATCCGAGCACCTACTTGTTGGTACTCGATAGAGGAAGAAGCGCCGGCAGTCATCTCCGCTGTATTCCATCAATGTATCAGCGACTTTTGCACTCAAGAAACCGGCGTATTTGAATGACGATCCGTCGGCCCATTTAAATGTATCATTTTTAAGCGTTAGACCGATCAACAGTGGTGTACTTCGATCGATACTTACTGCTCGGTCAAAAACTGTAACGAAAAGATGACTAATTATTTTTTTCATCATCGAATTCGTCTGGACTATAAAAGGAGTTTCAGTACCGCCAGAATCATCAAAACGCATGGACTGTAAAGAACGAGTCTTCTTTGAAACCGGGACGACCAAAACCACCTAGATTGCAGAGAAGGAGTCTTGCTGGTGCCAGGAGGGGCAAGGAGGAAGGCGTAAAGAAAAGAAACAGGAGAAGAGGTACTGTAGTCAAAAAAAAAGTTATGGAGCACAGAATGTTTTTCAGCTTTTTCAAATTTCAGCGGTCAGATAAACAGGGATTCCTCGGGCTATTAGTACGGAATCCTAGAGAGTCCTTGCCCTTTCCTTCTTTATTCACAAAAAATCAAACCCTCCTTTCCTTTAATTTCTCTCACTCCCTGCAACCCTTCTTTCCTTTAATTCCCCTCACGCCAAAACTTCCCTCCTGCCCTTCAATCGCCCATCCCTCGAAAAAAGAAGAAAAAAATTTTTTTTCAGTTCAACCGTTGCTTAACTAAGTGCATACTTCGATAAATTTTTCTGACAAAACGGAATTCCGCTTCATTTCGAAATGTGACACTGGAGGCAACTGGCCACTCACTGACCGCATAATTCTGGCAGAACCGCTGGTCAACAGTCGCCATGTTCTTGAAAATTCCGGACTCTTTCTACAACAAAGAAAAGCATTATTATTTCTTAAAGAATCTTTATGACTACGTTAATTAATAAAATCATTTAAGACGACTTAGGAATTCGGTGTGGGTATTCCATGTTAGTGATGTTACTGTAATGCTTCCACACACAAAAGCCCAATACGGCAAGTTTTTGTACTGAAATATAACTTTCACGGACTACCAAGTTCCAAAAGCTTGCTTTTAACGAGTTCATTAGGCAAAAGAGGAGAATGCCATTTGCAATGTTGACTCAGTTATGCTGAAACTAGCAAATTTTGCTGAGCTTGAAATTACGTAATTTTATACGTCGCATGGCACACGCCAAGCAGCGCGCAACATGCAAGATTGAACCAGGGATAAAGCCAATCCAGTTCAAATTGATTTGTTGTCTCATTAGAAATTTCTAAGCACTGTCATGCCGGTCGAAATATCTGCCCGTAAAATATTCAAAAACAGATAGGAACTAATTCCGCGAGAACTGACCGTTGAGCTGATGTAGCTGAAACGGTAGCAGTAGTCGAAGCCGCCATAATTGAATACATAGTCACAGAATTTGTTCCTACCTTCAAAGAAAACATTTGAAAATTTGAAGAAATCATATATGATACCACAAAAATAAACTGAGTTAGAGAAACTGAGGGCTCTGTTTTTTCTTTACTAGAAGAAATCATCGGAAAATTTAAAAAAAAAGATTTACCACACTCTGTTCGACCCTTGCCTAGAGCTACGAAGTTAACAGTCTGTTTACCAAAAAATCTCAGTTACACATATTGATCCCTTATCTCCTTCTTTTGTTAGATAAGCCAAAAATATCTAGACTGCCAATGTTATCAATATGGGTATCCCATCAGTGGTGTTACTAGCCTGCCTCCACATGTCCGGCACAGCTAAACGGATTCTATCGCTTGCTATCAGTGACGTCCTACACACGGTTTATCTGGTGGAAGTCTGACTATTTATAGGGTCGCAAGGGGGCGCGCCAAGCACCCTTCGTTCCCAACCTCCTGCCATCACAGCCAACGCTTGCTTTTTAACTTTCTCGGTGTCCACGTCTCGTACCCGTGCATGACTGGCGAAGCCGGAGAAATTGGATACTGTAGACCTTTTTAATCCTACAGTATCAACATTTCAGATCTATTTATTCTAAAAATGGGGTTACAAAAGATTTTTCGAGAAAACATTTTCAATTTCTTTTTTTTGAAAATGGTCGCTGTGAATATGATAGCTGAAAACTGAAGTGAGTCAAAACAAGCGAACCTTCATTCTAAGAGTAACTCAATTTCCACAATATATAAGGGGAATTAAAATTTCAAAAATTGCGACTTTTAAGTTCCACCTCTTCAAATGTTTGTTAATTAGCTTATCTCGGATTTTTGTTGAGATATTACAGTATATGGGTTGCACATTATCTTTATTTAGTCCAACAAGGTACCAGACTAAACACAGCTGTCAAATCAAAAATGACAAAAGCCTCTTCATTATTCGCTTTCTCAGAGAGACGGAAGCACTCAGAAATAACCCAAACTGTAGAAAGTACTCACAGCGGCCACTATGGATTATACCCCCCTTTTGGGAGTTACTTAAAAGCAAATTGGTCGGTGGTCTCATTAAAATTTCTAGAATTTTCAGTTTTCAAAACTCTTGATATTTACGCAAAAATGTTTAAAAAAGAGGATCCTCAGTTCCTCCTACTTTTAAAAACCTGTATGCGCCATTAGTGACTTAATGATAACCGATAGCAGGAAACAGGCGGCAGTACACACGAAGAATCGGCACAGCGCAAACAATGAAAACAATCACACGAAACATTGCACCGAGCCGGAATGAGCAAATTTCGCTTGGACTCAGCTTTTATATATGTATTCTTTATTTAAATTTTTAAAGAATGGCATGCTCTTGATGTGTCTTCACATGGTCAACTTGCAAATTTTTACGTGTATTTATTTGAAATATATATTGCAGGGATGACGCAGTCCGAATTAACACCGATGTCATGTTGTAACACAACGGTCCGACCTCGTCAGCAGGACAAGACAACCAGTTCTTCTACGACTCGCGGCATCTACTAAAACTTGGCCTGGCTCGGCTCGGTCGGCGTCATACACGATTTGTGAAAAATTTTTTCTGACGATGACAGGTGTGGCGACCCCATGGCAACTGGCGGGATTTCGATCGTGCCGGGTAGTGAGGGGGAGGGGGAAAGCTTGGGATTCCGTTCAGGAATAGCGTAGATCCCTTGTCTGTTGTCTAGACCATGCACACTTGGAGAGCAAAGAAGGGACGCGTTAGATGGAAGAGAGGAAGAAGCGTGCTGCTGGTTTTTGCCACGGAAACCCTGAGTAGGGAAAGGGCTGAAATATTAGTTGCTTCCAGAGTACTCTTGTAGGATGGAGAGGAGCTCAGATGTTACTTCGTAGACAGATTTTGAGGCTAGGGTAGAGAAGCGGGAGGAAAACATAAGCTAGGATCTTGAATTAAGAACTAGAAACAGCAGCAAAGGAAGAGGCAACAAAGAAAAGTAAATTAAAACATCCTGAGCTTACGAAAAAAGCAAAAAAAAAACGAAATCAAAGAATCTGAACCTATGAACAAAAGCAAAAAAAGATGAAAGTAAAAAAAAACAGAGCCTACATATAAGTGGAAATTATAAAAGCCCGTCTACAGCAAGGAGCTTCCATATTTATGAAGCTGATGCCCAGGCAAAGCTGCGAGCAAACAGCTGTTATTGAATTTACGCAAACATTCTGCACAATTCCAGTGTGTTGCCTTCGGCAACTTGCGACTGCACACAGCACTTGCATCTCCGTTTTTTGTTCTCACATAACTGAAGATTGACTCTACTCCATACATCCAGTCTGCCTCTCTTTTTGCTCAGTTCACATCTTACAGTGGAACTTACTCGTGCTTTGCTTTACCTGAGCATCAGCTTCATAAACAAGAGTTCTTATACTGAAGATGGGTTTTTGTAAGACAGTTTCGACTCGTCTAAGCTCAGTTTTTATTTGCTCTGGGTTTTTTTCGCTTTTACTCATAGGCTTTGACTTCTTGGCTTCGCATTTTTCCATAAGTTTAGGTTTGCTTTAATTTACTTTTCTTTTTACTGCTGTGTTGTCGCTTTCTCTTTGCTGTTGTCTAGGTTTAGTCTCGAACTCCTGAGTAGTACCCTCGTTCCTCTCTTCTATCCTTTTCCCACTCCCTGCCTCTGGAGGTGCATTTGGACACCTACCAACCACCACCCCTAACCACGCCCAACATTCCTACCCACAACTCCGCAACCGCGTTATCCAGCCACCAAGTGCTGGGTGCCGCTACCCATTATTCGTTGGTAAAGTATAGCTTCAGCAGAAACTCAATAGCAGCTGAGTCGAGCCGAGTTTCAATAATTGCTGCGATTCGCTCATTCATTTCGATGGTAAACTGATACTGGCGCATGCTTGTAAGAAACTTTTGAAGAAGGGGATGGGGGGGGGGCAGCCTTGCCAGCTAGTGATTGCTGGTAGTACTTGTGACCATTGGAGCTATTTTTGAGTACTTCAGCCTTTCATGAGCGCTCAGGACAGAGGAGAGAGAGGGGTGGAAGAAAGGAATTGGATTTTTGAATTTAGAAAAAAAACAACGACAGCTCTGAGCAATGAGCTCTTCATTTTGTTTTAGATTAAAGAATGTCGAAATTTTTATTGATGCTGAGCAAAAATCGTACAATATCGAACTGTACAAGTTATGGTATCTTCAATACCGATAAATATCCTAACGACTAACAGCGAAAGCATTAAAATTAAAGCAAAGCTGCTTATAGAAGATTCCGCTGAACCTGCAAAACGCTAACGCTTGGAAATCATGATATTTAAGTTTTTTGGTATTTTTGTTAATGGACGCATACATAACGTGCCAGGCAAAGGTCCCCTCTTGGCATGAATTCGGAGCCTGCGCGTTTCTCGTGAAAAATCCACGTCAATCCGGTCGAGAAAAAACTCTCAGATCTGTAAACTGTTCAGGGGAAGCAGAAAAGAAAAAAAAGCGCATGCTGCTTTAGAGGCAAACACAGTAGAAGCTTTTCCATCTGCTTCGAAGCAAAGTGGGAAGGTGCAGAAGTGGTTTAACACGTCGCGTTCGAATGTGGGAATAATTCGACTCCTTTTTTTGACTCATACTCCGTCCACGACAGTACCTGCGTAGTCGGTATGAATAACATTTTATCACAAGCGCAATTAATAAGCCAGCTTAGCTGCGCTTGGTGTGTGGAAACATATCAATAAAATCACTAATTTGGGATTTTTCTACCGATTTTTCAGGCGGTCTTGGTATTCCTGGTCTATTCGAAAAACAGCTAGTGTGACGTTCATTTTCAAAAAGAAGATGTTAAATTCTGCGAAATTTTCAATCTTTTGTTTTTATCAGAATGTTGTAGCAAAAAGAG